CGAGGTCGAAACTACAGTCCACCCTGGATGAGAACAACTTTTGGGAAAGCAAGGCTATGTGAAATTCAATAAAAACGTCAGTTCAATTCATATCATTGTGGGAAAATTCTTCTATCAGTCCTTCATCACCTTAGACGAAATAGCGTGAATACATCTCATTACACTGATTTAATGGTAGTCTCGAAACCCTACTATCATACGAATAAAAGCGAAGTTATGCAAGGATGGTCTCCGAAATCTAGACATTTACGTCTGCTACTCGTGGTCTCCTTATTTTCGTCCATTTTAGAGCATCTACTTTGAGTGAATTGGCATGATTAGAAAATAAGTTGATAACTCGCATGTAAGGTACGTCTATACACATATCTGCTCAACCTATTACCTCATTTGCTCACCAGAACTTTCAGGATGGATAGCCGATTCCCCCTGTCTAACTCTATAGTAGATTTGGTTAATTCATCTAATCTATTCATTAGTTCAAGTTGTTTAGACATTAAACAAACCTCCAATTGAGCCATTTAGTTGTTGTCTGGATTAGCGGTTGAACACTGCTGCATACCTGGACCTCGAAAGGTCGGCACAACGTCAACAGAGTCGCGAGACGGTGCGCCGGTGACGTTCTGCTGGCACAAATGTTACAGTCACCACAACAAAGCGATTCTATGCGAGTCCCTTTCACTCGCATCTGGCTCATCGAGGAAGCGGGTGTTGCCTGTGCAGCGTCTGCGAATGCAACCGGCAAGAGACCATCAAGGCTGACGGTGCACACAGACCGTGTTAGGCCTCGAGGCCTCAGTCGTTGCTGCTGCTGCTCATGGGCCAGCTTACGTCTGGGTCGAGCGAGCCGTTCTCGGCAAAGCGAGCAACCCGCCTCCCAGCTCCGCATGCGACAGTTTCACCTTGACCGGCTCAAGTTCACGCAAGCCGCCGCAACCGAACGACCGACTGACCGACCGACCGGTCCTCCTACCGACTGATCGGCTTTAATCTGCTCGCTCCGAAACAGATTTGTCTAATCCTCCTCTTGCCGTCTGACCGCAGATAGACAGTCGCCCGACTGCACATTCATTTCCGGCTCTTCATACGTGTTTGTCTCTTTCGCCTCGCCGCCTCATCTCCACCACGAGTAATTCTTGCGTCAGCCCTGCGCCTGGCTGGCCTTTTGCCTTCGTCTCTTCGTCGTGGGTGGGCTGCCGATCTTTTTTTCTCATCTCCACTGTGGCTGTGACCAGCCTTCAGTTGATTGGTCTGAAAACCGTCTTAATTTATTTCTCCTCGCTCCTCCATTCGGCCTACTCTGCCTGCTTCGCCCGACCGCCCCAAACCGTTCGCCGCCTCCATTCTGCCCATTGCCCGCCACGATTGTTTGCCTTTTTCCACTCCAGTCGGTCCGATCATCCGATCGACCGACCGACCATCTGCGTGTCTCATTTTTGTTCTCGCTTCTTTCGCCAGCCTATCTGTGGGATGAATATCGATCCAGCAGATTCAAATATCCTCTTCGAAGATCCTTTGTTGGCCTGGCTGGTTGGCTTCATTAGGCGTTAAGTGTCATCACGCGAAGCCCCTCGCAGGCCGAGCTCAGCTCGCCTCGAGGCGCATTAGTCTCGTCGGCTCGACCAACCGACCGACCCAAAGACCGACTGACTGACCGTATTTTTTGTCTTACTTCCTTTTCCAGCCCGCCTGTAGACTGGGTATCGATCCAACAGATTCAAATATCCTTCCTCGGGCGCCTCATACTTTCGAGTATCATTTAATTTTACCTCACCGGCTGGCTGGCTGGCTGGCTAGCTTTATTCGGCGTCAAAGTACCATCACGGCTCGTTCGCAGGCCGAGCTCAGCTGGCCTCGAGGCTCGATCGCTTGATTCGACTCGACTGACTGCCGACGCAGCCCTTGGGGAATTCTGCTTCGGGTTGGGCAGCCTGCTGCCCAGCTTTTTCTCCTATGCGGCATCAGTTCTATGACAACCTTTAGCTGGCATTAGTAGGCTTTCGAGATTAAAAGTAAATCAGATATATGAAGTGTGCTCACTATATTTCGTTTGAGATGATAAGGGGACTGGTAATTGCATTTTTCCCACAATCATATGAATACAACTTACGTTTCCACTGAAGCGTAATAGGGTAAATACATCTCATATTAAGTCATAAGGGCTTAGTGACGTTTGCAATTGCATGTTTGGCTAGCCTATATGCTTGCTTGTGTTTCCGTACTGCAATGCAATCGTAATTGTGCAAGTATGTGTTGGTATGCTAGTTTTAGTGGAAATTAATTAGAAATTCAGGCACAGCATTACCGGTATTAATTGATTGGGTGAACTTCATGTGCCGCGAGCAGTTATGTAAAGCATGAAGGAATAAACGAGACTATGCCATCTGAGCTGCGTTTTTGTCTGTTGTTCATTCTCTTCATTCCCTAGCTCTATTATTCAAGCACAAGGGATTTCTCTCCTTTCCTCAATGCTAAAAGTTCCTCTATTTTGTTTCTATCAATGGTCATCATCTTCAACCTACAGATATCGTATATCCTAATGCAGGTCAGCCCACCTATGGTCTGTCACTGTGCTCTTTCTCTATCACTTGCTTGTCTCCTTTCCTTTTCTGTAGGCTTCTTGAAAGCTAATTGTCCCCACCTTTTAGTATTGAATGAACCAACGGACTTTCTTCTACCCGTATCCCTGTCGACTGAGCATAGACTTCAGAACACTTATTCCATCCAATTGGAATTGCCCGTCTCCCTTATTTCAGCCCTTAAGTTCCCAGACCTGATGACTGTCGTTACAACTGCCACTGTTTGAGTCTATTTCTGGAATCTTGATCGATTCATTAAGTAAGGCGGCAGAGGACATCAGGACAGGCGACTGCATAACTTCAGTTTTGTGTTTAACATTACACTATTTTTCGGCATTTCCTCTAAGTTAAAGTCGGCTTTTTTGCTCATAGTTCTGAAGTTTGTTATACTTAAGGGTATAGAGAAAGTTTAGCGTAATCTTATCCAAATCTGTTCTAAAATTATTGCTTTGAACATCTTCTTTTGTAATTCATAGCATCCTCCTCTGCATAGTCCTATCTCCAACTTGTATATATTTGGCACATAAAACTTCGTTTAGCTTTAGTTTTTAACCAGTGAAGAATGTTTCTGGAATTGCAATACACTCTGAAAGCTTGTTCGTTTTGAGTAAGATGCCTAAAGATTCGTGTAGATAAAATCATCCTAACTTTTGAGTCAAGCTTGAACAAACCTCCCGAAGCCACTATCAGCGTTATTTTCCCTCGCATAATCGATTGTTAGAACAACCATCTTAAACGTGAAAAGCACCTCTATTTTGAACAAACATTTTTAATAAATGAGTTGTTTTCATTCTATTTAGTTTAAAGTGGTAATTGGACTGGTAGTTGAGATTTCCCACAATGTTATGAGTAGATCTTACGTTTCGTCTGAATTTTACATAACCTTAATTTCCCAAAAGGTATTCTCATCCTGGTAGGTCTCGAAACCATATTTATAAACGTTAAATATGTTATAAAATCCGTCTGAAATTGCTACATTATTCTGTCTGGCGCCGATTTTGATCATCAACTACGTAGAGCGACTAGGAAATCGTTTCGTGTAAAATGTATTATTTGCCTCAAAACTTACTGGCGAAATGCTCGAATGGATACACTTTCATTTAGACAATTTCCAGGAATATCTTACATTATTTTTTGGCCATAATTAAATACACAAACGCTAATTTTGAATTCACTATGCAATTTGAAGCGAGTTAATGTCTCTTCTTTTATACCCTGGTCTTTACGGGCGAAATGAAGTTAGGTCGGAATATATTTGGGGAAGTGCTGCATACTATTTCGATATATTATCTCTTCTATCAATCCTTCATCAACTTATGCGAACTTGTCGCCTCTATTATGGTCGCTGTTTCGTGTCGATGTATAGAAGTTGCTTGTGTTGTCAGGAGGACCTAATTCGACCCGCCTTATCTTATTTCCTCTGTTATACTAGATATGATAATTCCTAACGTTGGACCATGGACCTGGCGCATTCTCAGCTTACAGTTTATTACAGTTCTTATTGAAGATCCATCGATATTATTAAAGTCTACTTTCCTTAAATATAAGTAGCGTAATTGGCTCTAGTGGCAAACAACTAGTTTCTGTGACAAGACTTTCCATTTCGAAATAAAAGTTGA